TAAAAATCAAATATTTATTGTAAAAAATAAAAAAAATTAATCAAAAATTAAAAAATATTAATGTTTACTTCTATATATTCTTCTTTCATAACTCCAATCCATTCTTTTTATTCATGATTCCAAGATGAAGAAAAAGAAAAGAAGGGCTTAAATATAGCTCAATATATACACGTACATCTTTTGAATCTTAGGTTCAAGCACGACCACATCGGATACAAAGACACAAAGTTTCTACCCATCAATTCCACAGGCTAAAGGAATTTCCAAGGCCCTTTCGAGATAATGGGCCATGGGACCGAGGGTTCAGACCTGTTTGAACTCGATTCTGAACTTAAACTCCAACTGCCAATGAGTATCGATATTTCGAAATAAACTCGATTCTGCATTTTAGATAAATCAAGTACACAATTTTGGCCGATTTTAGACTAATTTGATTACGAAATCGATTTTATGAATTGATTGTAGAGAAAAAAGAGTGTATGTAATTAAAGAATGACTATAAAAAATATATAATAAAATAAAATTTTAATTTGAGAGAAGAATATAGTATATATTTTTTATAATTTTAATAAGATCACATATCAAAATCAATTTTTGTCTCATATTGATTGATAATCAATAAAAATAATATAATGATTGTAATGTAACAAGAAAATTTGTTAACCATTTTAAAAATAATAATAAAAAATGGTTTTAGTAAGATTTGCACTATTTTTCTTAAATATTTCCTTATATTTTGAACATATCTTTGTCATTCTATCAATATATCTACTATATCTATTATATACATACAGACATATCATATTAAACCAAAGCTGAAATCTTTGAAACATACAATATATTCAAATACACATTCATCAAGCGTTTCATTTGTTAAAAATAATTATGACACAATGAATCAGCTACTTAATTAAAATAATCGTGACATTAGCTCTTTAATATACATCCATACCATTATCGAGCACAAGATTAACGCAATATGTGAGATGATTAAACTCTTGAATCGAGTGGCTCTATTGATGAATCGAGAATCATACGCAAAGCATTGTACTTAAAAGAAAAAGAGTTGGCTTTTTAGCTAGTTACGAAAGTCTTTGTCCCTCGTTTTGTAGGTGCAAGGTGGTTTAACTGCGGTTTTAAAGGATTCTATTATTGTCGAGGGTTGCACTTGTTTGCAGAACTCGACCTTATTCCAACTCGTCCGCCTTTTTCAAGGTATATGTGCGTAGACAGGATGAGAAGAGACTGCGTAACACGAGCTCGACTTTAATGTGACCTCATGACCCTTTAAAAGGAGACAACCTCTTCTCTGGAACTGAACTTTGATTTTTCATTGTAATAGTATAGATTCAAGGTACATGATTTTTTATTTTGTTGAATAATAATTAATCAATTATTAAAAATATATTTATTTTATTTTTCTTTCTATATATATATATATATATATATATATATAGAAAAAAAAAAAAAATATATATATTTTTTTTTTTTTTCTATATATATATATATATAGAAAAAAAAAAAAAATATATATATTTTTTTTTTTTTTCTATATATATATATATATAGAAAAAAAAAAAAAATATATATATTTTTTTTTTTTTTCTATATATATATATATATAGAAAAAAAAAAAAAATATATATATTTTTTTTTTTTTTCTATATATATATATATATAGAAAAAAAAAAAAAATATATATATTTTTTTTTTTTTTCTATATATATATATATATAGAAAAAAAAAAAAAATATATATATTTTTTTTTTTTTTCTATATATATATATATATAGAAAAAAAAAAAAAATATATATATTTTTTTTTTTTTTCTATATATATATATATATATATATATATATGTTGCATAGTAATCAATTATACAGTTAATATGAAATAATACTATTATTTAGGTTTAAATAAGAGAATACAAACTTTTTTCTGTTAATTTTTTGTATTAATCATTATTTATCAAAAAATAAACTATTAAAAATTTTTTCTTTTAAAAATTTGTAATTTTTAAAAGGAAAATTTATAAAAATTTAAAAAATCTATAAAAATTTATAAAAATAGAAATTTCTTACTCTATATAGAAAAACAAGATTCGTGATTTACTAGAAGATAAAAGGTATAATTATTTAAATTAATCATCGCTTTAAATCATGAATATGTACATATTCAACAAAATGCTTTAATATAAATATTATTTCATTAATTAAATCAAATAATCTAATGTTTTGGAAATGACAACAATAATAAAAAAATTACAATTTAAAAAAAGTCTGAATTTGATATACTCCTAGATTAAAAAATTGTATAACTTTTACAAAAAATTTGTTGAAAAAGTTTCATCTTTAATACAAACAGAAAAAGCATAGAATTAACTCCTTAAAAGATAAATTTCTTTGATGAAATAATAAATTCTTATATTCAGCATGTTCAACTTGATAGAGAAATACACATGGAAAGAGGTACAATTAGTAATTAACATCGCGATATAGTGCTCGAAGAAGATACAAGCTTTTGGGTTAATTAAGTGAATATCGAATTCAGCTACATACGTCTGTCGAAATTTCTCTTATATAAATTACATTTTCAACACGATAGAAATTCTGCGTCTTCGGAAGCTCTATCTGAATAGCGCAAACACCAGAGTTAAGATTTAACTCGCCTCAAATAGGTAGACAAATAATTAATGTAATCATAAAATTATTCGTATATTTCTGCTTAATTTTTCGAGTCGTAAAATTCTCATATTCATCGACGTAACGCCATAAAACAAACAGTACAAAATATTCCAAATTTGTATAATTCTCGATATTCCATACTAGAAACGAAGATGAAAATTTGTTCGTTGCCCGATGCGTCACAACGTTTAAGCAAAAATAGAACGCGGTCTTGATTCAATTTCGGAAGACCGAATTATATCTGCCGGGATATATTTACAGTGAATCCGTTCTCGAAATCAATTAATAATGATACTACTAAGTCATCATTCAAAATATATATATTATATTATGATTAGTATTGTTTAATAATCAATAAATATTAATCCACTCATGAAAATAATTCAAAAAATTATTAACTCATATATTTTAAATATTACAACGTAACTTAATGAATGCAATTATATTTAACCCTTTATGATAGATATATACTAAGTCAGCACACGATATTCATTTATGTTCATTTTGCGTTTGAATGTTTTATAATTTAATTTGAGTATTTAAAAGACAATTTATATTTGACATAATAAATTTGAATAGCTTCATTATTACTTTTAATTTATAAATAAATTTTTATAACATAATTATTAATAATCACAACATAAATATTTTGAATATTTCAATATATGCATAAATTTGAAAAATTTGTTATTTGCTTTTCTTATTTGCATTTTGCTTTTCTAAAATGTTCAATAATAAAACAAAAGTCAATCTTATAAAAATAGAAAAAAATTTATTTTATTTAAATTCATATGTTATATATAATAATATAATCATTTCTAATTAAAATAATCTAATTAAAATAAAATATATTTTAATACTTTTTTCATATTATAATATTGTATTTATAAAATTTGAAATATAAAAAGCATATGACGAAATTTTAATTCTTTATGAAATAAGATATATATGACTTTCTTATGAATTCAAAATCTCAAAAAATATTATTAATTTTTATTTTCTTTTACTACATTTATCCATATAAACAAATAACATTTTTAATTATATCATTAATTAATTTTAGAAGAAATAATATAATATTATAAATTATATTATGCCTTTAGTTCGATTTTAGAAATAAAAATAAATATAAAAAATTATATACAAAAGGATTAATTGAAATTTATTTATTAAACTTATTTATTAAATTACAAACAATTTAAATTAGATGAAACGCATAATATCTGTAAAGATATAGAATGTAATCAAGATAGAGTGATCTCATTTTACCTTCTATCTCATTTCTATTTAACGCAAACTTAAATTACTTATAACTTAATAAATAAGTCTCAACTGATATTTTTGTGTATCAACTTTTATATTAATTTTATATTCATTTTAATTTCTGGAATGAACTGTCTAAATGTATTCTACGAATATATTAATATATATATATTGTTTATATATATATTGTTATCTAAATAATGTAGAATTTTTACGAAAACAAGTTGTGTGGATATCAATAATTTTTTTAATAAAATTATTTCATAATTCTGCTCGTTTCTAAAAATGTGCATCGATATTTATATTGAGACCCAAGTTTACCAGGCGATGTATAACACCTCAGACAAACGGAGACGAGAAATGTGCGCGGCTGCAACGAAAAACATTGCAAGGACGCACACCGGATGCTCATCCGTACATGCTGGCCGACATTCAACAAGTGACTGACACTGATGTCGCGCGAACGATATCCTACATCCTCTACCCTACGAACTAACAGGGTTGAACTGACAGGAACGCTAGTGGGGAGGAAAGAAGGGGTCGATCATTTTTTGAAAGGTCAAGAACGTATGAAAAAAAGTTGTATCATTCACTATTTCTATGCACGTTCACCAAACAGAATAACAAGCGCACTAAAATACTTGGAATAATCGCGTTTCAGGTAACCTCAATATTATAGCAACAATAAAACAACTTTAGATGTTGATTGTAAAATATAATAGAATAATTTGAAATCATTTAATATCACTTCTCGTTATATATTTGATTAAAAATCTTTCGATATTCGTAAAAAAGATAAAAAATCGGATAGAATCAATTTCGGGATTAATTAGAAACATGAAAAGAACATTTTCAAATATTTGAAAAAAAAAATTAAATTTAAACGCGTTATTGTTGTTGTTTCATTGATTAATCCGATCAATATAGCGATATTAAAAAAAAATGAAAAAAAATTGAAACCTATAGTATTTCAATAACAGAATAAAAACATAGTCGTAACAAACGGGATGCAATAGGTTTAATAATTTACCAATTGAAAGTGCAATTACTCACCGCGCTCGTCGATAATTTCAAGTGACTGAAGGGCCCGTGAGACACACGAAGAGTATCTCAAGAGTTAATTTTGCCTGGTATCGTTGCAGAGATTTCCAGCCGATCGATCATTGACTGGTTACGCCAATGCAGCCATCTATAAAGCTACCAAAAATTAATGCGAAACAATAATTGTTACATCTATTCTACGGAATATATATGATCATACATCTCTATCGCGATCTTTGCATTTATAAACATAATTCATACATATCGATATAATTATCATGAAATTATGTCATTATTTTCTTGTTATAGCTCAAATATTAAATTAATAAAACTAAATTTTCATTCTACTTAATTAAACTCAAATTTTATCATGTTAAAAGTTAAAAGTTCATTTAAATATGACAAACGTGTTTTAAAATTTAAAAAAATTATATTGTTATATTTTTTTATTGATTAATTCATAAAAAATTATTTTTTACACATGCGTTTCATGATATATTATATATAAATTTGCTTGCAATGAATATCAACTCTAATTACATTAGAGATGCAGAGTGATACTGTAATAGAAATCACGTAATAAACATAAATATAATTTGATAAAGAAGAGAGATCTAATGATTCTAAACAAAATAATTATAGAATATCTTAATAAATTTAAATTCATTATGAAAGAACATTGTTTAATAATCTTGTAAAAAATTTTATTTCGAAATTAAATTTATATATTAATGAAAATATTATAATGTATTATTAAATGCATTATTAAATACATAATAATATAATAGAAACATTGATAATAATTGATAAATAATATAAATGATAATATTCATAAATAATTGTTATATATAATAAATACACTTACACTTATGTATATTTCTTTTGTATGCACTATTGATATACATTTTTTTATATTAACTATTATCGTTTACAATGATTTCATATAACATTAATATAATAAAATATAAATTAATACAAAATACATAATTGATTTAATCTTTAATTTTCTGTAGTAACATGTATTATAACGGTATAATACATAATATTTATTATTAACTATCGAATAGTGCATTCGTCATCAGTTCGTTAATACTCATTAATTTCTGCTATAGCTTTTTTATCTAATCTACAAACCGGTTGTTTATCATTCATCATTATCGAAAAATTATATGCTTATACTGATTAAAGAAAAAAATGAAGTTTTTACGAAGATGACAAGTTTTTTAATTATTCAATTGAAAATATCGAACTTTATTTTGCAAGAACCTAACCTCAAAGCATCTGTTTACTCATGCGCACCATCGTCAAATGATGGCGCTGTTTTCTTAATTCTTGAATATTTTTGTTACTTCACTTCAATTTTAAAATTATATCTTTTGCCATATTAAATTATTATTGAATGTATTACTCATTCTATAAATTGAAAATATTTAAATAATTTTTAAAAATATTTTTTCATATTATATATGATAATCTTTAGTTTGGTTCTATATCAAAGATATACATCATGAAGTTTTCGTAATGGCGGCGCTGGCTACACGAGGCTCATAGGCGCGTAAATATCAGCATAGATGAGCACCAACGACTAAAGTAAAGAAGTACTTTATTCTCTTCTCATCAGAAGCAAAAGAGAAAGAAAGATAGAAAAGGAAACTAGTGACAAAGAACGAAAAAGAGGGGCTAGCAAATAGAAAAAGAGAAAATCGAGGGGCCGTCATAATTCCTTGAATTGAACGGCGGGTTATTCTCCACCAAGGTTACCGACATAGAGGTTGAACGAAGCAAGCGGGCCAAGCAAGCAGGCTAGCAACCTAGCAGGCAGACTAGCATGCAAGCAAGTAAGTAAACGAGCAAGGCAGTCAGGCAAGCCAGGCAAGCAGACAGGCAAGTTGGCTGCCCAGTGAGACGCAGAGAGAAAAGCGAAAGAGGGGGCACATGACGAGTAGGATGAGAAGAGGTTGGATGAGAGAGGAAAGAGGAAGGGAGGGAATCGATAGAATGACAAGGACGGTGCGCCAGTATATACCGCAGCACGGCAGCA